CAGCTATATTAGAAATCAAGCAAATAAATCCCCTTAATACTCAGTATGTATATTAAATTATTTTTTGAGAACATTAATTTTATGGCTTCATTAAAATTATATATTTTATTATTTATTATTTGTTCAGTTTCACTATTAAAGCATTTGTAGTATATAAATCAGATATTAAACAGTGGTCTAACAATCGTGGACAAGGAAAACTTTTCAATGTTACTTTAATGGATAAATCAGTACGAGTTACAATTTTAATTCAATTATTCATCAGGATATTAGAAACTCATTTATTATTACCATCATTCCTCTCCAATTACTAACAATTAATCTAATTAGGGAGAGATCAGAGCTACAGCATTTACATTTTGTGTGGATAAATTTTATGAACTACTCAAGGAGAACAAAGTATAAATTTTCATTCAATTACCCTTTTTATTAATAATACATATCAATTATTAATTATTTAATTTCAAATAGGCATATTATATGACCAAGTTGAAAGTAGCTCTAAACAAAAATCCAATTTATCAAGGTCATAAATATGAATTACACTTTGAAAATAGCAGTGAAGTTAGACTGGTATGTAAACATAGGTTTTTACACCCCATAACATTAATTTTTTAAAAAAATCTTTTTCCTTTTTCTTTTATAGTGCACTGATACTGATTCCTTGGATAGTGAATTGAGTTTCAAATTTGTGACATTTGAAAAACTGCTTAGCATTGATAAAGACACTCATATTGGTAATTGTGATTTCTAATAATGGTTTTTTATTTTTTTATTTTTTTATTAATATTATACATATTATTTTAATAGATGTTATTGGTGTTGTTAGATATATTCATGAAATCCTTGATGTTTCAACAAAAAATGATCAAAAAACAGTATTTATCTTTAATATATATATTTTGTTAAAAAGTTTCTTTTGTTAATTTTTGAAAGTTCATCAATTGATTTATTTTCTTTTATTTTGGTGTTAAATTATTTGTAGCTTCGAAAACAAGAAATTGATATAGTCGATAAAAGTGGTTATGAGATTACGGTGACAATATGGAGGAATCTCATTGATAATTTGGATTGTACTATTGGCTCAGTAATTATTATTAAATCTGCTCGTGTTAGTGATTTTAGAGGTTCAAAATCTTTAATAATATTTTATACATGTACCATATCTTTATTTATTTACAAGTGATTAATTATTTTTATCCCCTCAGGTAAAGGTTTATCAACAACAAACAGCACTGTCCTGATTACAAATCCTTCATTACCAGAAGCAACTGAGTTATCAGAATGGTATTACTGATTATTAATTTATTGATTGGCTAATGAATTGATTGATTATATATAATAATTTTTAAATTAATTAAAAATGTGTTCATATTATTGTTTTTAGGTATAGTACAGGTGGATCTCAGTTAGAATTCAATTCATTAAGTCGATCAATCAACATAAAAGAGGCTCAAAAGTCATTAGAAGAAATTAAATCTGATAAAACTTTAGGACGTAAAGAAAAAGTAATAGTTTTACATGAATTTATATATGTGTTTATTGTTTTTATGCATCTAGCTTTAACTTCATCTATATATTTATTTCCAAGCCTGACTATTTCACTGTTAGGGCTACTGTTGCTTACATACATAATAAAGGCAAAGAACTTATTTATCCTTCATGCAGTTCTTGCAAAAAGAAAGTATTTGGAAGTGGCAATAATTGGAGTTGTGATAGATGTTCAAAATCATTTGAGACTCCAACCTACAGGTATAATGTTACTTGCTAATGGAAAATTTTTTTTAAATATTAATATTTATTGATGTTGTTTGTTTTGTTTGTTTGTTATAGATATATTTTACCAATTCGTATAACTGATCATTCAGATAGTGCATGGATGAATTGTTTTGATGAAACAGCTGCATTAATTCTGGGCATGCCTGCTGATGATTTCCGTAAACTTAGAGTAATTGTTTATTTATATCATATTTTTTTCTATTCATTAATTAATATTTTTAATTTTCTAATATATATATATATATATATACATTTTATTAGGATTTTGATCCTTATGGTTATGAAAATCATATAAAAAATCAATTGTGGGAGTCTTACATATTTAAAGTTTGTACTCAGCTAAAAACTTTTAATGTAAGTATTAAATACTATAGCAATTATTATAATAATTATATAAATAAATAAATATAAATATAAGTGGGATCATTTTATTTTGTAGGAGAAGACTGTTGTAAACAATAACTTGGTGGCTATTTCAGAAATTGATTATGTAGCTGAGACTAATCATTTATGTGAAAAAATAAATGAATTAGAAAAATTGTAGTTTTCTTTTTATATGTATGTTGTTGATGGATGTTTTTTACTTTATGAATTTAATTTTTTAATTTGAAATAAAATTTATTATTGCTAATTTTAATATAATAATTTAAGTGATTGATGTAAACACATTTTTTAATTAAATATTATATGCAATTGAAAGTATTGCCTCTTTTCTTGCTTTGGTGGTGGTGACAACAAAACATTTGTGAGATTTAATCTAAATAAATCATAAATAATAAATCATTTTTAATTATAAAATCATTCTAGTCTTCATATCCAATGTTATTTATTATTCTATATTATTCTAACAAAGCATCTACTTTTTTTTAATATATTGTCTTGCTCTATTTATAACATTTTAAGTGACAATCAATGATATACTTTAAATGAAGATCACAAATGTAACAATCTTTAATCTTCGATCGGTATAATAATTCTAGTCGAAATTAGGCAATTAATCTATACCATATTCGGTAATGTAGAAAAACTTGTTTTGTTTAAATTCGCTATTACTAATTTGGCAATCGGGATTATTGCGTTTTACTTCGAAAGAATTATGAATATTATTTTCCATGAATTATTATTATTTTTATTAGGAGTTTTGGTGATGGTGTATAATTATTATTATTATCATCAGTTATTTTTTACCTAATCTGGAGTCTTCTGGCAATGTACACTTAATTTTAAATTGATACACAAATTTATTTTTTTACCCTTACATTTTTCATTAAAAAACTTTCAATCAATTCTTTTATAAAAATGGAAGAAGGAAATGATAATGATGATTGTATAAAGTAGTGACAGATTAATCAGAAAATAATATTAAAAACCCAACTACAAATTATATAGATGTTGTTGATGCCATTGAACAACAAATTATAGTTAATGCACACAATAGATGTCCCATTGATGAAATAAAGGATAGTCCTATTCATAAATTTTAGTAACCCATAGTAAACAAGATGAATCTATTACAGGATGCACAGTTAATCTTGACCAAGGAACAATTCAATGAGATAACCAAGATAACTATTTTAAAACTAGGTCATGTATAATAGATGTTTCAGATGATAAATATATGCTTCTTCTTATATGGAGTGGTTATTATAAAAGTATTGAATTGAATTTCATGATTCCTGGACATACCAAATTCAAATGTGATGGTAATTTTGGGATGATTAAAAAACTCTATAGAAGAACCAGAGTAGATTGTCTAGATCATGTGGTTGAGGTGGTAAAAAAGTCTAGCCCAGCTAGATTGAATAAAGCTCAATGTTATGAAGGTGGAAGAGGTTTTCAATATTTAGATATTAAAGCTATTTTGAGAATTTATTTTAAGAAACTAAATGGTTTACAAAAGTATCAACATTTTCTTTTTGAAGCAACTAATCTTGGTACAGTGAAAGTTCAAGAAGTTGCTAATGGACCTTTTACTGAATTCAATTTATTGAAAACCAAAAAAACAGATATTTTTGAAGAAATTAAATCTTTATCTATTTTAGTGTTAATATACCTGTTTTGGACTATAAAAGACAAGAATACCTTTATATTAATATTCACCCATTTGTGAAAGATAAATACAAAGGTATTAATTGCCCCAAGCCAGCGTAAAATGTAATTAAATAGTTTTTATACTAAATAAAAAATGTTAGATGTCATGATTAACTTTTATTTTTCCTAATCTTAATTATTTTGACAGTTAAAATAACACATAAGAAACACAATAATATTCCACCTATTCAATAAACTTTCTCTCTTTTATTAAGTTTATTAAGTTGGCTTTCTAATTGAGCCTTAGGAATTTTATTCCATTTTCTATAATAAGCCTCAGGATCTCTTATTTTTTCTGCAACTCTCTCATCTTCCATAGTGCCTAAAAATTGATTGTTTTTTTTGGGTCTGAATTGCCTTCATCATTTTTGCAACGTGAATCTAGGAAAAAACAATATCGAAATTCTAAGAGTTATTATCTACATCTCCTCAACTTTTGTTTATAATGACAACAATAATAATAGACATTGACACTTCAAGTAGAGTGTCCACAACGAGATTAGATGACGGAGAGTGTGTAGATTTCCAATACAGAAAATCTACTTGAAGATAGATATACAATTGAACATTATTATGTTGTTGCAGGAAAGTATGTATTTCACGAATTCGCAAAGCTCATATTGCGTACACTTGTTTATAGCATGTTACTATAATATTGTAAAATTAGCATATAAACCTTTTTTCGTCATTGACCAATACTTGTTTATAATATTTCAAACCATGAAAAACATTTTTTATTACGGATATTGTTAAAACCCTCCAACCAGGTTTAATTTGTAATTGAAGTATCTTCAAAATTTTCGAAAATTTTATATATCAATTAGTGTTGGTTGCCAAAACTATTTTGAAGAGGCGAAAGTCAAAACTAAAATTAAAAGTTATATGTCAAAACTAAATCAAAAGTCAATAGTCAAAAATCAAAACTAGTTTCGACTTATGGCGAAATCTTTTGACTTTCGCATGGTTGCGAAACTCTCTAATTTTGGAAACCAACACTAATATCGATCAATGTTTAATATAAATTTTTTTATTTTGCTAAATCATAAATAAATTATAATTAGAGTGAGGATATATAAAATAAAATAAAACAGAAGTATGCTTTAAAAAAAATTGTAAAAGCACACGAAGATTCAATTATTAAAATCGGAATCATCCGAGAATTTTTTAACCTCCTCATCTTTTTCAAACATTATACGATCATTTTTTGAATTGTCAAATAAATATCCCATTTTTTTATTAATGGATCCACATGATAGTCCCTCGCCAACAATTATATCTGGTTCTTCCACTACCACTCCACCAACAATAGGTCTTCCGCCCGTGCCACCATGTTTACTAGTAATCAACCATTTTTTATCAGTTTCTGTCAATTTGCTAATTTGAATTAAGGATTCTCCAGTTGCAAAATCAAAACAATCTTTAGGTCCAAATCCTACTGCCCAACGAATCTAATTAAAAATTAAAACAGATATATATATAAAGTATACTTTTTATCTCTATCTATTTATATTTGGTTTTATGATTTACCTTCATCTTTGTTCTTATATTACTAACTGCGCGGGCTGCTCCTGCACGTGTATCCATTTTTATAAATGCATGATTTTTATCATAATTAATCTAATTTAATGTCAAAAATTTTCATTTATAAATTTAATTTTTTTTTTTAAAAAAAAAATTATATGTATATTCATACTGTAACACTTGCGACAGAACCAAATTTTTTAAACATTTCTTGCATAACATCTTTAGGCATATCTTCTGAAACACTACCAACATAAAGTGTCCGACTTACAACTATTTTAATTTTAACAAAACTAAAATTAGTATATAAAAAATTTTTATTTTTTATATTCATTACCTTTGATATATTTCATTCCAACACTTTGATCTTCATATACAAGACATATGTCTTGTGGTATTGGTGTTTGTTGTGGAGATGATTGATATGTTACTGTTTGAGTAACTGGAGCAATTGGAGTAAATGTTGAAATTTGAGAAGTTGGTTGAATTGATCCTGCTATTAATGGAACACCTGAGGGAGATAGTTGACCAGGCTGCTGTTGAGGTGGATTAGGACCAGCAGCACCAGTAATATTACTCGTAGCAGAAGCATTAGTAGCAGCGGGTGGTGGTAATGAATAAACAGGTTGTGATACTGGTGGGACAGATGTTGGTGGACCATTATATCCAAGAGGTGTTATAAAAGGAACATTTGGTTGTTGTGAAGAATTTGAGTTCCATGGTGCAGGTTGCATAAGATTTTGTTGAGCACCATTATTATTCCAAGGCATAGCATGAAATTGTTGTGGTGGAACATTTGTTTGTAATTGTGATGGTTGACCAATTGGTGATGTCCAAGGTTGTAATGGATTAAAAGGAAATGATGGACTAGGTTGTTGAATATTACCTGGTGAGATTTGTTGATGTTGATTTTTATGTGGTCTAGTTATTAGTTGATTAGGATCTGATGGAGTTTGTTTTGTGGTAATATCTTTTTTGTGTTGTTGATTTGATGGTGTACTATCATCATAATCAAACTCTAAAGGATTATTTGGTTCTGGCATATTTCTATCATTGCTGCCACTGCTATTATCATTAGTTGTTGTTGAATATTTGGAATTTTGAACAGTTGGTGAGTGTACATAGTTATTATTATTTGTTGATAATGGTGTAATATTTGCAGTGTATGATGTGATAGGTAATTCTGGTTGTTGTTGCTGTAGAATTTGATGAGGCGGAGGAATTGGATGAGGAGGTTGATTGGAGTTGACAGGAACATTATTGAAAGGTGTTGGTGCATTAGGTTGCATTGATGTATTTGATATTATTGGGTTAGATGATAGAAAAGAGGGTATGTTTAAAGTTCCCTGTGTAAGATTATTTAAAGTGGCCAATAATGCTGAGGAATCCATTGTTGTGGGATTCATATTTTTAGGATCTGTAGATGATGATGATGGGAGCAATAATGATGATGAAGGCAATGATGATGATATGGGATTAATTACTAATAATAATAATTATTATTATTAAAAATAAATATAATAATTGAAAATTTTAGATTTTTTTCCAACTGTAAATGTTCATTATAATTTTCCTTTTTTTTTTTTAATAAAATAATATACATATTGTTCAATCCAAAGTTATAAACAATGAAAATAATAAACTAAGGTATATGATTAAAATTGTCTTTTTTCCTTTATATTTAACTGACCATTATTAGAAGAAGAAACATTTACTGATTTTGTCTCATTAACACTGTTAACCAATTGAGTGAGTGGAGTGATTTGATTAAAATAGATGTCTTTTATTCTTTGAATAATCTCCTTGTTATAAGTTTCTTTGTCATACCAAAGGTCAAGAACACGTTTCACTTTATCCTGTAAAAAATTATTATATTTTATTTTATTATATTGTACGAGGTTTTGATTAATTAATAAATATTTATCATATCACAAAGATCTCATTTTTTTTTGTTTTTCTCTTTGAAAAGAACACACATTAATTGATCTTTTGTTCAGAATTATCATATTCATCATTATTATTATTGTTATTAATATTGTTAATACTGTGATATATTTAATAGTAATAATCCAAACACAATTATATCATATTTGGAATGTAAATTGTAAATTTGGTTTCTTTAATGTTCTGAAATATATTTTATAAAATTAATATCTGAATATACATCTACTATATAATTAGGTGTTTTTTCTCCTACATATTAATTAAGGTTATAGTAATAAATTGTCTATATTTCTCCAATGTTGGCTAATTATAATTAGTGATGATTTTCTCTATTCTCACTCAATATTTAAATATATAAAGAACTTTTATAAAGTTCTATCCAAAATCCTCCTCTTATATCATCATTTATTCATCATCATTATCCTGATTCTCTAAGTCAATCTTTCTTGTTCATTCATTCATTTTTTTTTTTAAATCATAATGATAACAACAATAACAAATCCAGCAAATATAATATATAATATATAATAATAATAATGATAAAGATATAACATATTAAAAACATTGTACCTTATCATGCTCCGGACATTGCATTATATGTGTAAATATTTCTTCTAACAGTTTCTCAAATCTATCGATATATTCTATTCCTGTCCACAAAGAAGATGATGAAGCTTTGGATGTAATTGATGATGACTCATTTTTTTTTGTCATTGCTGATCCTTTTTGTTTTTGAGCAGTTTGTGATATTGAATCTAACACATATAATGCTCCCAATTTATAATCAGATGGGCATCTTTGAATAAACTTTTGTATACTGTAAACTATATTTTTGTATTGCTATAAATTATAATATGAGTTACAAAAAAAACTTAATTGAAGCCAAAAAAAATTTTTTATATAATTATGATCTATTACTATTATTAATTTTTATTATGAATAATAGCATTTTTAATACAAATAAAGATTCTAATTCTAACTCTACATCTAACTTTGATGAAGGGATATGTCAAAAGTTTCTATTATTCGGATTTCTTGGGTAAAATAATTTAATCTAAAAAAAAATAATATCCATACCTTTGGGCTACTCAAAGCTACTTTAGTTAGATCTTTTATTTTTGAAGCACTAGTCCCAGGTGGCTTTCTTTCAAGTAGTTCATTTAATTTCTTATCGAATTCAGGAAAATCATTTACTGTGATTTTTGTCATGTTGTCTCAACACAATCTATAAATATAACGACAATAAAAAAATTTTTACCATTGGTTTTGTTACACGAACTATCAATATTAAAATAATGGGCGTTATTGATAATCGTGGTGTTGGATAATTAAAAACAAAAATATACCTGAAAGATATAATCCATATTAGAAGAACATCTGGATTAATTAATTCATCAATTTAATTATTTATGAATCACTATTATATTTATTATTGTATATGAAATTCTGAGTGGCTAATTTGAATTTCATGTGCATGAATTGCAATTCACGCAAACATAATAATTAATCTATACAGTGATCGATAACTTGAGATTTTTTTAATTTAATACATTCATGCAATGTTTTTTTCTTCTAAAATATAATAGTTGGCGATGTTTTGTACAAGTATATAATACTTTTAATTGGATGCTTCATTGTTTAGATAAAAAAAAAAGATTGGGAACTTTAAATTTATTTATTTTGCTGATTTAATATAATAATATAAAAATAATAATAGTTTCTGGAGGAGTACCTGAAGAACCTGTTGTTTCCAAAAAGTCAGAACAACTTTATGAAAAAAAGTTGATTATCAAATATATAGCTGAAACCGGAAAGAAACCTGTGACTGATGAAGATTTATCTGAGGAAGATCTATTAGAAGTAAAATCAAGTAAGCTTTTTAATATTTTTTTTTGGAAGAAAAAATTTTGATTAATAAATAAACATTTATACAACATGTTTGAACGAATGGTAGTTATGATGATATCAATTATTAAATAAACAACTAGAAGCTGTTTCTGACCAATTTTTGATATGATTTAGAAATTTATCTGAACTCTATAATTTGTTATTTTATATAGAATCTATATATATATTATTTATCATTCATTTAATTGTAAAAAATTTTTTTTTCTTAATAATAATCAGGTACAAAGATAGTAAAACCTCATCCACAAACCTTTTCTTCCATTCCATCATTGCTGACAGCTTTTCAAAATGAATGAGATAGTTTACATTAGTAAATATCAAAGTTCAACCACCTGCAGATATGTCTATGTCTGAGACACAAAAGATGTAGGTTAATGAGGAGAAAGGCATAGGTAGTTCAATCATTTAAAAATTAGTAGAATCCAGTATAGTGTATATAATTTCTATTAACTAATTATCATTTAATTATAAAAGAAATATATGCACATTCTAAAATTAAAGTTTACCCAATTAAAAAATTTTAAATTAGTTTATCAAAGGGATGTAAAAAAAGAAAGCCACCACCAAATCTTACACCTGCTGATACAATCAAAACATTTACTCAAATTTCTACAATTCCAGCTTTACACAATTCCTCAGTGCCTGGAATATTATTATGTATGGATTTAGATCAAACAGAAAAATTAGTTCTAACAGGTGACGTTGACAAAAAGCATCGATTTATTATAATTGTAAAGAAGGTAAAGTAGTAAGTCAATTGAACAACCATACAAATGGTTTGCGGAGAGAGAAAGACAAAGCTGGTGAATCAGATATTGTATTTACAGCAAGCACTGATAAAAGTGTTAGAATTTGGAATAATACCAAAGAAGGTATTTATTTTCAAGTGAAAATATAAAATCTCAAAAAAAAAAAAATTTTTTTTTCTTAATAAAACCAGGATATAAAGCATCCATTGCCATTTCAATACACAATGCAGAAGTTACTGGTATAGCTTTAAACCCCACCAAAGATTATTTTATGTCAGTTTCTGAAGATTTAACCTGGGTTTTCATGATATTGCTATTGCTCAAACACTGGTTAAATAGAAAATAGTGATGTAAAAGGTGGTTTGTATTTATATTTATTCGATTTTATTATATAAATAACCTATTTACTCATGTATTTATATTATAATAAATGTATTGGAATATTCATGTGGAAATTTCATCCTGATGGTCTTATATATTAGGAACAGGTACAAATGATTCAATTGTTAGAATTTGGGATATAAAAGCACAACAAAATGTTGCAAAAATGGAAGGACACACAAGAAAAGTCAAATCATTGTCATTTTCAAAAAATGTATATTACTTAGCAACAAGTTCAGGAGATAATTTGATTAAAATATGGGATTTAAGAAAACAAAACAAATGTCCACACTCTATGTGTCTTTTATTATTTTATATTGTTGAAATCAAACTATGGGACAGAAAATGTAGTGTCTCTCGGGTATTTCTGTATTTATTACAAGAATAATAATAAATAATTGGTATCGTTTTGCTTCTCATAATTAATGTTAATATTAATATTAATATTAAATAATTAAAAGATGTCAAGGCAATACAACTGTTGCAGAAGGGAAACAATTCGATATGTGACATTTTCATAATCATAAATTGGCAGATGTCAAGTTACTTGAACACTTTACAGTCATTCTCATACATTCCTTCTTCAAAATACTTCTTCTGATATAAATGAGGTTCATATTAACTATTGTTGTCCAGACAAATATCATAATCACATTATATTGTAATTGGTAATACAATTGTGGTGTTAAACATTCTTGATCCCTGAAATTTTTGATAATAATACAAATGTTCACTTTGTCTGGTTTTGTTGCAAGCATGTCCATATTATGATACAGATACGTAATTCCGCATTTTATGATGTCAGTAATATTTTATATTTTTGGTAATGATATTCGTGCCTGTTGTTTCTGAGACCTCGATTAGAAGTTTCCAGAGTCCCTCCTATAAATTTTAATTTGTGAAACTATATTTTTTCTAAACAAAACCTCTAAAATGTCTGCCATAACAACAACAACAACAGTCCAAGCAACTTATTCAAAAAAACAAGATGATGAAAACAATTCTAAACCCTTAGTATTGAGAAAGTTTGAATATAATCTGAAGAAAGTTTTTAATGATAATGATAATGATAATGGTGATGATAATAATAATTATAACCAGAATAATGAAAAAAAAGAATTACATGACTTATCAAATCTTTTGCTTTCAATGCAAAAAGATATCAATACATACCTAACAGATCAAATGAAAATAACTGGTGATGATTATAAGGATGTTGAAGAAATGGAGGAGGAAGAGGAGGGAGATGAAAAACTTAATTAACAACATTTTTATTACAAGACTGTATCCTGCAATCATATTTTTATTTTGTCATTTTATCATATTTATTAGAAAAACGTGAATTATCATTGCATACAATTGGTCATTATCATATTTTAATTCTTTGGCTACTAAAATTAATGGTTATGCAAAAAAAAATTTATTAAATAAAAATAAAAATGGTTTAGTAAATGAAATGTTAAAAATGAGTCATTTGCTAATTCTTTCTATAATATCTAAATAATTTTTATAACCATTGAAAAATAATAACTGTTGCTCACTGCCGGTCCAAACAGGAATCAAACTAAAGTGTGTTGTATTATCAACTTCCCAAACATACCATTTACCAGCTTCAAAATTTTCCTTTTCATAACCACATTCATTTTCTTTTGATGGTAGCCCTTTAAAATGTTTACATAAACCATCTTCACATTTGTAATGAGGATGTGATTGAGAAATTTTTGGACATACTCCATCATTCTCATACCATTTGTGTAATTCTTCTTGTGATAATGGTGGTGGAACATGATCTTCTGAAGATATTGTATTATCTTGAAATCGGAATCTACCAATTCCATATGATAAAAAATAAATTGCTAATGGCAATGAAAAAGAAAAACTTGGCTTATGAAATTTTGTTATAGGATCTTCATGCGTCTATTAATCCCCATAGAAAAATAAGTTATATTTATAATATTAATGATAATGATAATAATAATCATTGGCATTTAATTTACCATTGATGCAGCATAGGTTCTGTAATAGGTATTTTTAAAAGTTTTACTTGTTGAATTTAAATCATTCATTGCATGTATTGTCATATCATAAGGAGCATTATCTTTGAAATATAACCAAGGACTTTTAAATAAACATTTTAATAATCCATGTTTACTAACACAAATATTATTTGAATTTTTGTTTAAAGATTCATCAATTTCAACCATTTCTTCACTTTCTTCATCATCAACTTCTTCATTTGAATCATCATCATTTCCTTCTTCATCAATGTTGATATCATCATCATCTTGAATTTTAAGATCCAAACCATCATCTCCTTCCCTTTCTTTAAGATAATTAGAATCCTTTACTTTTTTACTTTGAAAAATATTAATTAAATATTCAGAAATTGTGCTGAATGGATTTATTTTAGTACTTTTTATTGTATTAAAATTCCAATGATCAACATTAAAATCATAAGTAACTTTTTTCAACCATTTAATGTCAAAATACTCATATAAATGAACAAATCTACCCAACCAACAACCAAATGAAAATGGGCGAATTTCACCATTTCTTTTTGTAGTTGCTCCCAATAAATACACCCCTTGAGTACCTATTAAATATACATATAAATATATAAAATATGATGATAAGATGTAAAATTATAAAAAACAAACCTTTGAATGGTGAAGAAACAGCCGTTAAAGATCTAATCATGTCAGGATGTGCATTATAAGATGATGGAAATATATCACTTGCAAGCAATTGTTGAAGCTTCCATATAGTTGTACCACCCTGTACACATGTTAAAACAAACCGCAAAACTTATTAACCTCATTACAAAAGCAATATGAACTTATTTATCTAAAACTTACTAGTGAATGACCAAGAAAATGAAGAGGTTTAGAAACACTCCATTCTGAATATAATCCTATGATGATGTTTTTTTAAATATTGCTTGTCAGATTTTTATTATTTCAATATCTATTAAAAATTATAAATAAAACTTACCAGGATATTCACGTCCATATCGAGAATGACCAAATAATTTAGAATGCTCTTCACCATAATCAACTATTTTATTTTAAAGTAAATACTACTAGCGTTGCATAACAAAAATGGCACTGTTAATACCTCTCTGCATTAAAATTATAATTACCTTTTCCACCTTTAATTTGATAAAAAATTTCAACAGCTCTGTCATG